ACCTGTGGGCGGAACTTTTAAATAGACAATGACTAAAATTGTACATGTGGCTAATTGTAGCCGTGTTGATATCGACATTCAAAATGTAATACTCCTTATACGTAAAGTAGGATTGTTAATACTTAATAAAATAATAATCTACGGGGCTATAGAGGTCTCTCTATAAATTGAAAAAAAAAAAACAAAAAAACGAACAGAAAATTATTAATGAAATTGCTCAATATTAATTGCAATTTTATTTTTATAATCTAAATGAGCACCATCATAATAACTAATCGTATAAAATTTGATTACATCATAAATTGCATACTGTATTCGAAATATAATGAGAACGCCATAAATCTAGTTTTTACTTGATTTTTAGCCAAGATAAGTTGTATATGTAAGCATGTGAAGATGATCACTATGATCTCATTATTCTAGATGGTACGTACGTACGTAGTAAACTGGTTTTACTTATTTTCGCGAGTAGTACAAAAATAAAAAGACTATTCATTGGAAAAATTTATATAAGTATCCTTGTGGACCATCCGGAGAAAAAAAATAACACTGGATAAAATAAAAAAAAACTCGAAAAATTATGAGTTCACAAATACCAAAACCCGACAATGAAGATTACGTAGCTTTTTGGCATGAAACGGAGAAAAGAGATAAATATCTAAAAGACAATTTTGGAAAGTTACCAGAGGAATACCAAAAATTAGTAAGAAATATTGGGGACCGAGAGCTGGGACCATCATATAGTGGCTTCCAACTTCTTGCAATAGCTGTATGGCTGAGAAATGAAGAACAATATACGGCAATAGATTATTGGCAAGGAACGAGTAACCTTCATTTATATTACAAAAGTAATGCTCTAAACGAATTAATCAAAAAAAGAAACCAATTGCAAACGGATTGTTAATTCAGCGAAAATTCCTGCTGGTAAGTATTATATTTAGCTTATAATATTTTAGCTAAATAAATTTACTTATTTTATTTTATATTAAAATTTAGATAATTGAGTTGGTTTAAAAATATACTTTACTACCACTGAACACACAGCTACTACCACTGAACAAGCCGCTACAACCACTGAACCCGCAGCTACGACCACTATATTTAGTTAAATATATTATAAAATAAATATCGTAATAAAATATATTTTGCTAGTTATAAAATTTGATATTATATATAATAAATTATCTAAATAAAATATTGCAAGATCTTTTAATTTTTTAAAAAATAAATGTTCTCATAACAACCGGTTACATGCAACAACTAGTTAGAATTAAAGTTTGGATTATTTTAGTTTGTTACAATTAGATTTGTCCTTTTTTAAAATATAATTAGAGACATGATCATGTAGGCGGCTTCGCCGCCCATAAAGTGTTAAAGATAGTATATTCTTATTTTTATTTCGGAGAGAAAATTTTCTAAGTATTTGATGTTACGTTTTAACGTTAAATTTAAAGCCTTGATTTATTGTCGGGGAATTTGGGGCTTTAATTTAAAAATATAAACCCTACTAAAATCTCTATACTCTTTTATTATAAACACTAACTAGGGTTGGATCGGTC